TGGATGAAGGAAAAGGGACGCAGAAGGAAAAGAGACCCGAGGCGGCCGCCGGTCCGAGTGTGAACTGAACTTCAGGTAAGAAGTTATGATCTGCAGTCTCTCTGGGTCAGATATGAACCAAGTTTAGGTGGAGTTTATTTTCGTTATGCTGACTTTTTCCGTACTGCGTGCTAGCTAGCATGACGGAGTTTCTATACAGCTGGGTGGTGCTATTAATGATGTTGCACTTTATTTTGTTCATAAGTTATTAGAGTTGCCAACCGTCCCGTCTGGTATTCAGAGAAAATATTACGCGTTTCTTATTGAGGTGAAAAGGAACAGTTTGTCCCGTAATTCAGCTACAATGAAAAAGGCACAAAGCTGGAGTTATTCTGTGTCTTTGCTGCACAGCTGCCTCTTCTTTCATTCTCCCCCCTCCCTCTCCCGTTTCTACTTCAATCATGAAACTGATCAATGATCAGCTGATCAGCTCTCTTGTTTATTTATCGCCCACTTTGTGCCAGAAAGAGGAAACCAGCGGATGTCGCGCTAAACAACAGCAGCACGTTTAAGCTTGATCAGCTGTTGTTAGAATGTATTTAATATTAATTTCTAGTATCAGCTGATGTTTGCTGGAGCCACAGCTGTAAAGCTGCTGGTCATGATATGGTTTGGATATGTGGTGAGAGGGAAACATGAAGATGAAACCAGGAGATGTCCTTACTGAATCATCAGAGCTGAACAGGTGATGGAGAAACAGGTTTACCCTTTAGGTGACATGAATGAGTTGAAGGGAAGTTTTGAACTGTTTCTGAGAGACAAATAACACCAGGATCCTTTTCTAAGTAGCTGACAGCTGGTAACTGTGCAGGTGCGGATCTAGCAAAGTTTTGCCAGGGGGGCCAGGTAGGGCATTAACAGGGAGAGGGGGGCACAAAGAAATACTTTTCTATCTTATTCTCATTTAAAATGTCTAGCTTTTAAAAAATAATTATCTGAATCTTACAACAAACGATTGATAGATTGATGCATATATACCATCAAAACAGTGTACATCACTGTCACAACAGCGTTTGTTTTCATTCAAAGGCTTTATGATTTTTCCTATAATGGTGTCTAAAATGTCCGGGCCAATTTTCTGTCCCAGTCCAGCCCTGTATCCAGCTCATCTGCAGTCTGGTGTTACCTACATCTTCCTATTCAGAAGGCAGAATTTCCGAGTTCTGAGTACAATCAAAGCACCACGACTGCAGTTTTTGTGTTGGATGTAAAAGGTGCACATGACGCTGTGACGTAGGCTAGAATCATGGCAGCAGTCAATGACGGTCCAGGCGTGGGATTTCTCTCGTGGAAATATGCACAGTATCTTTTCCTTTCTATTGGTAGGTGGCACAGTGCACTTGTGGCAGGTAAGCAAGCTAGAAGACTGCAAAGTTATGGAAGAAACACATTAACAAGAGAATTCTGAGTAAAACCAAAGTTACTTTCCCTAGTAACTAGTTACTTTGAAAGTAACGAGTAACTTGAAGTAACTGAGTTACTTTTGAGAGAAGTAACTAGTAATGTAACTAAGTTACTATTTTAAAGTAACTTACCCAACACTGGTCATGTCTGACCCAGTTGTGTCATGTTTCCTGTTTTACTTTGACAGTCTCGAGTGCCTGCCTTACGTTTCCTGTTTTACTTTTCAGTTTTGCTTCCCCCAGCCTCGTTGTGTGTCATTTCCTCGTTATCCCTCTACAATCATATGACCCCCTCAGAGGGGTCAATTGTGTGTTTAAGCCCTCGTGTTCCTCTGTTTGTCGCCAGATCATCTACGTATTTCCCAGTGCATTTCCTATTTTTCAGTTTTCACATCTCAAGGTTTTAAAGTTGTTTATACATGTTTCTAGTTTCCTTCCTGTTTAGCTTTTGTCAGTGTAGTCATTATCTTACTGCGCTGTGTTTGTGTTTCTTCTGCCTCAACAAAAGGTGTGTTTTCAGTTTAAGTCCGTTGCCAGTGTTTGCATTTGGGTCCACACTCTCTCCACTCCACCCCTTTGCTACTACAGTTAGGTGGAGTGGAGAGTATTGTAATGTAGACCCTACAATAATACATACAGAGAAAAAAACCCAACAATCATATGACCCCCATGAGCAAGCACTTTGGCGAGAGTGGGAAGGAAAAACTCCCTTTTAACAGGAAGAACCAGGCTCAGGGAGGGGCGGGGCCATCTGCTGTGATTGGTTGGGGTGAGAGAAGGAAGACAGAATAAAGACATGCTGTGGAAGAGAGACAGAGGTTAATAACAGATATGATTCAATGCAGAGAGGTCTATTAATACATAGTGAGTGAAGAAGAAACACCCAGTGCATCATGGGAATCCCTCAGTAGCCTACACCTATTGCAGCATAACTAAGGGGTGACCGTGGCTCAGGGGGTTGGGAAGCGCATCTGTAACTGGAAGGTTACCAGTTCGATCCCCGGGCTCTCTGTCCTGGTCGTTGTGTCCTTGGGCAAGACACTTTACCCTACTTGCCTACTGGTGATGGCCAGAGGGGCCGATGGCGCGATATGGCAGCCTCGCTTCTGTCAGTCTGCCCCAGGGCAGCTGTGGCTACAACTGTAGCTGCCTCCACCAGTGTGTGGATGTGAGAGTGAATGAATAGTGGCATTGTAAAGCGCTTTGGGTGCCTTGAAAAGCGCTATATAAATGCAATTATTATTATAAGGGAGGATTCAGGGTCACCTGATCCAGCCCTAACTATATGCTTTAGCAAAAAGGAAAGTCCTCCATCAGACATCCATCACGATCTCTTCACACCTCAGGACTCTTTTCAGTCATTTGATCCACAGTCTGATTAATCACACATCAGTCAGTAATCAATAACAGGCCCTGATGCCCTTTAATTCAATTTTCTGAACATTGTTTTGTGTTTAAGCTTTGAGTTTTGACTTGAGGCCTCCCCTGTGAGTTTTCATTCTCACTGAGAGTCTGTCAGAGGTTCAGCTTCTCCTTGCTTTCTGTCATCTATCTCCTGTTTCAGTGCTGGATTTTCATATTAAAGCGAGAGTAACAGCATCTTTATTAGAGATGGCACGATACCACTTTTTTATGTCCGATACCGATATCATAAATTTGGATATCTGCTGATACCGATATGAATCCGATATAGTGTTTTTTTAATCAATAAAACTGTTTTTTAAATATCTTGCTGCATTTTGTATAAGTTCATACTCAAGTTTAAAACAACAACTACACTAAAGCTATTCTGTTATACCTGTATGCAAAAAAAATATTTCATAGTTCAGCAATACTGATCAATCTAATAAACTTAGACCTACACCATCCTCCCTATTCTGGTATTTTAAAGAGTACTTAGCGTAAATATTAAGCAACCTAACTAATAGGGTTCCAACTCCCAGCAACAACAAAAATAAATAAATAAAATATAGGGAACCACCCCTCACGCTCCACCTCATGATGCTTAATCGACGTAATCAACCTTAATTTGATGCAGTGTGAATAAAAATGCACAGAAATCAATTATTTTTCAAGAAATATTAAATAGATTCAACATCTTTCTTCAACAAAATTGCAGACTGCACAGATGGTACCTTCCCAAAGGAAAAAGTACTATAGCTTACTAGGGTATATATATTAGACTTAATAGTCACTATATACAGTAATGGACTTCTATTCATTTTACATCAGATTAAAACTTTGGGTGTCAGATAATTATTTATTAAAAGCTCGACATTTTAAATGAGAATAAGAAAGAAAAGTATGTCTTTGTGCCCCCTTTTCCCTGTTCATGCCCTATCGGCCCCCCTGGCTAAACTTTGCTAGATCCGCCCCTGCACAGTTACGTCAGCTGTAGAAAAAGATCCTCGAGTAGAAAGTAATATTAAATACATTCTAACAACAGCTGATCAAGCTTAAACGTGCTGCTGTTGTTCAGCCACTGGTTTGCTCTTTCTGGCGCAAAGTGGGCCAAAAGCAAACAAGAGAGACGGACTCGCGACAGAAAAGCCGATCAGCTGATCATTGATCAGTTTCATGATTGAAGTAGCAGCAAGAAGAGGCAGTCGCTCGTTAAGCTTAACGCAGGAATGCTTTACAAACATTCAGAGATGGACTTACACACTTGCTTTACTTCTCTCGGGGATAACTTTGTCGGAGATGAAATGCCGGGTTGCTAGCGAAGCTCCACATGCTATCCAGACCACCGACAGGTCCCGCATGCCACAGCCGCTCTATCACGTGATGCATACTGCTCCGACGTGCTAACGTTCTGAGGCGAGTGTTGCAAGTTTTGTGAGGTGCTTTCGTGATATTTAATGGATTGATTACATTTTTTATTTTTCTCCGATACCCGATCCAGTAATTTAGGTCAGTATCTCTAATCTTTATGTGGCCATCTCATGCACAGCAGCCCCACCCACCTGTCCAAACCTTCAGTCAGAAGAAACTGAGTGGAGAGTCAGTATCAGAAGGATCATTTTGAACTGTGAATCATACAAAGCTGCTCTAGAGACCTGGGACAAACATACAGCACTTAAATGAACATGTTTGAGGAATGCTTTGCTGTGATCTATCCTTGTTAGGAACTTGTTCCTATTAAAAATGATCTCTTCCAAAAATATCTCTGTAAATGTCAGCGAGAAACTGTGAGGAAGAGGAGCAGGAGGAGTTTCAGACAATGAAGATTTTTGTAATGGGAGGAGAAAATGTTGCATGACGGTGAGCTGAGGAAACCTGGAGGGTTAGAAGTTGCAGGGATAACGTTTGTGCTCCATCTCCGTCCAACACAGAAACTCGGCAGGGTTCAAAAACCCGTAAAAACTTCAAAATGACAAAGTCCTCATTACAAGTGTTCAGGCTTATTGAGGAGCACTTATTGAGAAGATGTTCATTAAAACAACACATGAAGAAGCTGCCGTCCTCGGTCCAAGTCATTTGACTCCTCCCCCCCTGCTGATGAGGCGGAGCCTAACACCCCCTCCTCAAAGGGAGCGGGGTTTGTGTGACAGACAGAGAGTGGCAGAGAGGGATAGAGCGTCGGAGCTGCTGCTACTCTTTCATCAATAATCAGTCATCGTCATCTGATGCAATTGCTGTCAATAACCTACAGATCCACAGGGGACGGTCCGATCAGCAGCTGGAAGGTAAGACTGCTGGTTTGTGTATTTAAGGTCAGAGTTGGCAAAAACAGCAGATTTAAGAGTGAGGAGAGTGCTTTCAGATTACTGGAGCAGATTTAACGGGATGAAGAGGAGCTTCAGATTAACAAAATCCTTTAAACTGGGCTAAAATATGTTTCTATAATCACACTTCTCCAACGTTGTACGTTTGCTTCATAAAAAGTTCAGAGGGTAACACAAAGAGATGCTCTGCAGCAGCACTCTGAGATAAATCCTTCAAACTGAGCTCATTTACATCGCAGTAATGTTACCAAACTGATCATTGGAAAATGACTGAGTTACATTTTGATTCATTTGTCTCAGGATTTTGTTAAAAATTCAAAGTGAGCTGAGAACTCATTCATGCCCTGATAGAGTTTAATGACATCATCAATATTAAAAGAGAGGACAGGTGCTTACCGTAAACTTTCATTCTCTTTGGCTCAAACGATCCCACCAGCAGCTCCTGCCACTGACATCTTTTTGCTGGCCACGCCTGTTAACCTCAGAGATGAGCTTTCTGCGTCTCCCGAGCATGCTCACTGTAATCATCCTTTCCCTGTGGGAGACGTCCGGCTGCGGGGCAATGACGCTGAACTCCACGGCCCTCCTTCAGGTGTCAGCAAGAACACGAGGAGGGGGAGCGGGTGTCTACTCCACCCAGAGCAGGAGGAGGAGAAGCTGGGTGTGGAACCAGTTCTTCGTCCTGGAGGAGTACACGGGAGACGAGCCGCTCTACATCGGAAAGGTACGAACTATAGATTTACAGATTTAGTCTAAATGACGGCTCCAGGCCCAGGGCCCGTGCAGGTGCCCGTGCAGGTGCCCGTACCGGTCCGGGCCTACGTCCTGGCTCTGCATCATAGATGTGGGGTTCAGATGTGTCGGTGCGAAGGAGATGTTTCTGTGCAGCTTTGTTGCAGCAGATTTAAAGTGTCTCTGAACCAGAACAGAAACTTGTTTTTGTTCCCAGCAGCAGTTCATAGCTCATACTTTTGTTTTGGATGAGAACTTTAAGCATGTCACAGACCCAGAAGTCCAAACAGAAACCAATAATGAATAAACAAAATTCTTCAGGGAAAAAATTAAGAAACATAAAACTAGCGGTAATTCTACTGAATCTAAAGTGGATTAAAAATATGACAAACTTTAATCAGGAAGTTCTTCTGGGTACTGGATTAGGACTTTTCCAAGAACATCGGATATCAAACTGGTATTTGGAAAGCGTTCATTTGGAGAAAGCCCAAAGACGAAAGGGAACAGAGTGAGGGAACTAAAGGACATCAGGAGGAACTCCACTCTGAGTTTATGGTGTGGATGGATGTACCTGGTGAACCTGGTACAGTGTGGCTGTGGTTCAGGAGTAAGAGTGGGACGTCTCCTAACTGGGAGGTTGATGGTTTAATCCCTGGCGTATACTGAGCTCTTACTTGTCCATTGTACTGTGTGAATGTTAGCAGCACTGAGTCAGGCTTGTAGTAAGAAATGTGGCATAAAAACACCAGTTTGTTGATTGTGCAGTTCAAAGGTCAAAACAGTGAAACAGGTGATGCTTATTTAAAGTGAAACGGGCACATTTGCTTTGTTTCACGGCGAGCTCCACCTTTGAAGGTTCATTTTCTCGAAAATAACAATAAGAAATATTTGTTGTACTCAACTGGTTTCCTGCAGCTCCACTCTGACCTGGATAAAGGTGACGGACAGGTGAGGTACGTCCTGAGCGGCGAAGGAGCAATGTCCATCTTCTCCATTGATGAGGACACCGGAGACATACACACCACCAAAAGCTTGGATCGGGAACAGCAGGCGTACTACACACTGAGAGCTCAGGCTCGAGACCGAAATACCAACCTGCCGCTCGAACCCGAGTCCCAGTTCATCATCAAGGTCCAGGACATCAACGACAACGAGCCCAAGTTCCTGGATGGACCGTATGTGGCCCGGGTGGCTGAGAGGTCACCTGTAGGTGAGTCCAGAACCAGCTTTTGTCTTCACATAGTCCCGTGTGAACAGGCAGATTTCATGTGTGAGTGGAGTTAGCTTTTTTACAGTCCACTCGTTTCTATCTGCACTGAAGTCACCTCAGCTGAACGTGAATTAGATCAGCAGCGATTCAGCAAGCAGAAGCCATTTTCATAGACTTCTGCTTGTAACGTGAAAACCTGATGTCATGCAGGCTTTTAATGTGAAAGTCTGAGGTTGAACAGGCAATGTACAAACCAGAGCTGAGCAGGTTCTTGTTGTGAAACACCTGGATAGGTTTTCTGTCCTCCAGGTGAGTCTCCTGTTGTTGGTCCCATTGCACATGCTCACTAGTGTTGATCCTGAAACGTTAAGACTTCAGTTAAGTCCCTTGGTTTGTTTTATGAAGACACCATCTCAGAATTCACTAGTTGGAGCAAATCCAAATTTAGGTTTGACAGCGTTTCTACGAGACGGCAGCACTCCCTGTTTGAATAAAGTTTGATTTTGTACAGGTACGTCTGTGTTGACCGTGGTGGCGACAGACGCCGATGATCCGACCTATGGAAACTCCGCCCACCTGGTTTACAGCATCCTGCAGGGGCAGCCATATTTCTCTGTGGAGCCAAAGTCAGGTGAGCGTGTGGCTGTGAAACGCAGAGAGCACTTGGTGACGCCACGACCAGTTGGGATTAAACTGCTACAGACCATGACTGACTTTACCCATGAGCGTTTGGCTGCAGAGTTGTCTGTAACCACCTTCGTGTTGAAGGTGACACGGTCACGCCTCCTCTCTGAATCCTCCTTTGCTGCTTCACACATCAGATGTAGTCAGATTGCAGCAGATTAAAGCGGATTAAAGCAGCTTCGGCCTCTTCGCCTGAAGCCGCTTTATTTACTGTGTGTAAATGAGGCCACATGATGTCACGTTCACATCGGTTTGTGTCGGCGCCGCACAACACCTGTGACCTTTTTAATGTCAGCATGTGGATCAATTATGAATGCGTCATGTTGATTATGTCACATTCCGATGTTTGTCATCTGGGCGCTCATGCTCACCTTCAGACTGTGCTAATGTCTCACCTGTCTGCAGGTGTGGTGCGTACAGCCCTGCCCGACATGGACCGGGAGCTGCGGGACCATTACCTGCTGGTCATCCAGGCCAAAGACATGATTGGTCAGATGGGAGGTCTGTCAGGAACCACAACGGTCACTGTGATGCTGACTGATGTCAACGACAACCCACCTCGCTTCCCCCGCAGTGAGTCTCACCTGAGAGCATCCTGTTAACACCTGTTCATTGATATTTGACTCTCTCCTTTTCCTGTCCTTCTGGATTCAAACCTAACAGAGTTTCTTTAGAAATCACAGCTCCTCCCTCTGCCTGCTGGATTTTTAACAGTGAGCCTGCAGAGCGTCGTGACCTTATTCCAACATGATGTCCTGAGATTGCGGAGTGTTACAAGTATTTAGGGTTGTTCTTGACCACAAACTGTGTTTTGAGCCTCATGCTGATGCCACTACCAAACAAGTTCAGCAAAAACTGTTCTTTTTAAGGCAAATGAGATCTTTTAATGTCTTATCTGAAATTTTGTCCTTGTTTTACAGAAGTTTTATTGAATCATTTATCTGCTTGGTTTGGTAACATGACTCTGAAGAACAAGAATCGGTTGGGACTTTGGGTAAAAACTTGCAGCGAACTCTCAGGGCGTTTGGCAAGACGGACTTTTGACCATTTGTAACAAGCATGTGCTGAGGAAGGCTCATTCTGTTAACCGTTTGAACCATCCACTTCACACTGAGTTTGACTTGTTGCCCTCTGGCCGTTGTTTTAGAGTACCTGTGAGGACGACCAAAGACTCCTGGTTTCTTTTATCCCGACTGCAACCTGTCTTCTTAATGGAAAATAAATGTCTTGTGGCTTTTTATTATTGTTTTGTTTATTCTCATTGTTGCACTGGTCACAGGCTGCCTCTCTGACCCAGTGCTTTATTTTGTATTTTTGAGTCTCTTATGTTAAGGTTGTATGATAAGTTCCTTTGTTATTCTTATTTAAGGTTTAGTTGAGTTTTGGTTTGCCATTATTATCATCTGTCTCATGAGTTTTTTAAATTCAGTTTCTTGTCTTTCATGTGTTTTAGGGCTGTGTATTGTGTTGTCATGTCTACGTCTCCATGTTTCCTGTTTTATTTTGAAAGAGTCTGGTGCGTTCTTGTTCATTGTGACTTTCCACCTCGGCTGTATCCCAATTCAGGCTCTGCAGCCTTAAAGGCCGCATTTTAAGGCCGATTACGTCACAGCGACGCGCCGAAGGCTGTCCCAATTCAAAGGCTGCTCGAAATGCAGCCCTCAAATGCGTCCTTCATTCCCCTGAATTTTAAGGACGTGGTGGTTTAGACTTCGTGGCCCACCATATCCCAGAATGCATAGCGCGGCGGTGGGTGTGGATAATTTTGCCGAAAAAAACGGCGGATGAGGGGCGGCCGAAGAGTAAACTTTAAGTAAGTACTGAATATTATGTCACTTATTTATGTGCAAATATTTAATAACGAAGAACCTTAAACATTACTGTTGGCCACATGTCGGCAAAGTCACGTGACATCAGTGACGTTTGTACTAACTTGGTTTTAAAGCCTTTACTTTAAAATACACGCCGTTCAATAGCTGAGCTTCATCTCACAGAGAATGATCAAAGCTCATGTAGAAACAAACAAATGAACAAAAGATTTTCTCCTTCATTTCTGTCAAACACAGCTGTATGACACGTTTCCAGCTGTTACTATCATGGTTGCTAGGCAACCTGGGCAGCGCAACGGAGGCTAGACCGTCCCATTTCACAAGCCTCGCACTTCCGGCCTTAGCGGTCTTTGAGTACGCGGCCCTTGAAGATCGTTGAGGCTGCAGACCCTGAATTGGGACACAGCCATTGTGTCAGCTGTTTCCCCATGTGTCCCCACTTCCCCTGATCACCTCCTGTGTATTTACGTCCTCTGTTTTCTGTGTTTCATTGTCAGGTCATCTGTGATCCCCACCATAGTCTCTCATAGTTTTCATGTTTATCTCCTGCCACCAGCCAAATAAAGGCTCGTTTTTTTGTTCACCTGACCTCTCCCTGCTTCTGGGTCCTGTTCACAACACATACCCCGCTGTGACTGCGCTTGCTGTTGCACTAATTTCCCCAGAAACAATAAAGAATTGAATTGAACTGAAGGGGGCGCTGCAGGCACTCATTCAGGCTTCATCCTCTGTGACCCACAGAGAGTTACCAGTTCAGCGTCCCAGAATCCACACTGGTGTCAGCGGTGGTCGCGAAGATCAAAGCTCTGGATGCGGACGCGGGTCCAAACGCTGAGATGGACTACAGGATCCTGGACGGGGATGGACTGGGAACCTTCAGGATGCTCACAGACCCCCACACACAGGAAGGACTGGTCATCCTGATCAAGGTTCTGGATTGTTTGTAGGTCACAGAAATCTCCAGTTTTTGGTTCTGATGTTTCTGTCCACTGTCCACTCTTCCGAGTCTTCTTGGGACGCGTCCCTGTGATCGTTGCATCATCGCGTTAGCACTGGCCTCGTGTGCGTCCCAGAGGACGTCCCTGCTGCTCGGCAGCTGCTCACAGCTGTTTAAATTTAGCTCGCTGCGTCTCTTGCAGATGACATTTTTTTTATTGTTCTGATTTTAGATTCATCGCTCAGATAAAGGTTTCCTTTCTGTTCTCTTCTGTCAGCAGTCGTGTCTGTTCCAGCACAATGAGAATAAATGTGGGTGTCACCTTCACATAATCACATGACCACGTTTTACTGATGGCCACGCTAGTTTATTCAACCCAGTAACATGACTTACAAAGGAGAACAAAAGTAGATAGGTTTCCAGCTTCGGTCAGTCTGACCTCCATGTGTCGCTGGCTCCAGCGGTGGGCAGCAGATAAATCATCTCCCCGTGTGTAGTTTCAGATCTGGGCACCACTAACTGAAAGCCCTGCTGATATGAAGTCAGATACATCAGGGCCTGAGCCATCCTCCGACTTTTAAACCATTAGCAATACTTCTTGGAAGCTAAGACAGGGAGTTGGAGTGATGTGCTCTGTTTTCTAACTGCAGCCGTCTTTCCAGCCTTAGAGGAAGCCAGTAAGTAGAGCATCGTCATCCCTGTACACACGAATAAGCCTCTCAAGTCTTGCTGGACACATAAAACATCTCAGGCTTGTCTCTGTTAAAGTGCCAACTGTCCACAAAAAGGTCTTTTTGTGACAGAGCCAACTCGTCTGTGTAACCCACCCTGCATTCATGACATAATGGACTGGAGGACTGACCCTCGAGCCTCCATGAGGCATGGAGCTAATTCCTGCCTTCTACCTGTCTGAGAAGCACACCTGAGTTCTCACCTGTACTGAGGTGTAACAGTAACGGGGTCTGTTTTCAGGTGACCATCTTTTAACACATTTATGAGAGCAGCTTCTGTGCTGTGACTGAAACATTCAGCAGTTTGATTAAAAGTCACTTTCCCTTACTGGTAAATTTCATGTTAATGAACACTAAATGCAGCAGGATATAATTTCTGTTCTTTAGCGATGCAGAGAAAACGCCAGCAGGATGTGTAAGACGGCAGAAACATCCTGGTAGCTTCAGTTTTCTTTATACAGAAAATAACTGATTTGAGTTTGTAGGTGAAATAAGCTCCTGAGGTTTTTACCTTCTGATTACGTTGGAGAGCCGTGTTCTCGTCTGACTCGCAGCTCTCTTAATAATTACGCTGTAGTTCTTTTCCTATTTGCTGCCAATGTGACGTTTCTAATGTTGTAAGCTGGACCGTGGTGCACAGACTCTGTCATAGCTCTGGCCTCCATTCCCATGAAGGCCCCTCTTGATGAGGTGCAGCTCAAACATCTGTTGGTGTGCTGTCAGGCGGCTCAGCTTTGTAGGAGCATCCACAGCGCTTCAGAAACAGTTAATGCATCGTGGCGTTTTTGTTACGCTAAATATTCAGAAGTACTCGGATCTCCAGGGAGAACAGCCTGCACTCAGAGGCACCTGTGATGTCATGTCCTCCCTCCTCCTCAGACTCTGGACTTTGAGACCAAGACCAGCTACGCTTTACGCGTCGAGGCATCCAATCGCTACATGGACACCCGCTTTCTGTCAGCTGGGCCGTTCAGCGACGTGGCGACAGTCCGGCTGCAGGTGGAGGACGTGAACGAGCCTCCGTGTTTTTCCCCCCGCATCAGCCAGATGGCGGTTTCAGAGGCAGCGCCGGTGGGAACTGAGGTGGGATCGGTTTCAGCTCACGACCCCGACGCCTCAAATTGTCCCATCAGGTAAGACGCGAGGCGGTAAAATCACTGCAAACACATTTCCACCAAAACGCAAAGACAACACCTGTGCTCCTCTGCAGGTACGCCATCGACAGGAAGTCGGACGTGGAGAACTACTTTGACATTGACAGACAATCAGGCGTGATCCGGACGAGCAGACGTCTGGACAGAGAGCTGAGCGCTCTGCACAACATCACTGTGCTCGCCACAGAGAGCTGTAAGTCACATGACATCAGTTTGTCTTCCTGCGAGCAGCAGGTGTATCTGACAGGTGTGTCTGTCTCAGTGGATCACTCTCAGGTGGGCAAAGCCGTGGTTCTGGTCTCTGTGACAGACGTCAATGACAACGCTCCGAGCTTTCCCGTCGAGTACCAGACATCCGTCTGTGAGGACGCCCAGCCGGGACAGGTGAGGCTCACTTGTGGCTTACAGACAGGTGTTCACAGAAAGGTGAGCGAGTGAGCAGAAGGCGAGTGAGCAGGTGTGTAGACAGACAGGTAAATACAGCTGCTGTGGCTGTGATGTCACTGATATCCGTTATTTAATGAGCATCGTCTGTGAAATCTCTGTAATCTGTTACTGAGATGGATCCAGAAGTCCCTTCTCAGGTCACATGAGCGTTGGTGACTGGATGTGCTTCTGATTTTCTGCCTCTGTTTGACCTTTGACCTTTAGATCATTGTGACGCTGAGCGCCGTGGATTTGGATGAACCTAAGAATGGACATCACTTCCTGTTTTCTTTGGCTGCCAAGGCTGCCTGGAACCAAAGCTTCGTCCTGAGAGACAACAACGGTACAGTCCACCTTAATCAGTATACAGCAGAACTGTGCAGTCCACCTTAAAACCAAAGATAACTTCAATGAAACAGAGCAGCTCTGTGGTGTACATGGACCAGCCTGAATTTAAGGTTTAACGCCTCCTGTGTCAGTGATGTTGTGGCTGGTAGTCACATTGGAACCTGTCACTCATTGGTTCATGAGGAAAATAAGGGCCCTTAAACTGGGTGTAAGGGGATCACTTTAGTGCTGCAACAGTGAATTTTATGTTAACAAGCTGACGTCATGCACCGCCTGTCCTTGTTGTTCACTGGTGGCTACCTGCACTGAAACAGGATCCGCCCGTTAGCCGTAATATTCCCTTTGGAGAGACTTTGTGAGTGAGGACTGTGTGGAGGACGGCCGGTTTGAGTTGTGTGACCTGTCGGTTCAGCGGACCGCCCGGTTGGTGTCCCACGTTGTCCCGTCTGTGTGTGTTTGTCCCTCGTGGTTTCAGCGAACACACTGAGCGGTGCCATCTCTTTCTAACCCATTACCACAAAGCAAAAACCTTCACAGGATCTCCAGCTGCCAATCATCCATGAGCTTCTCGCTGTAGCTCCTCCCACACGTTTTAGTTCTTTGCTTGGCATGGCACCCCCTTAGATAGCACTCTGTGTTCCACCTTAAAAGCTGCTGGTGATGACGTCGATCTGTCTGTCTGTCCTCAGACAACACGGCGTCTGTCCTGACGTGGCGGGCCGGGTTCCTGCAGCGGGAGCGGCCGCTCTACTTCCTGCCGGTGGTGATTTCAGACTGCGGGACTCCGCCTCTCAGCAGCACCAACACGCTGACCGTCACCGTCTGCGAGTGCGATCTTCATGGAAATCGTCGCAGCTGCGTCCAGGAGATGTCAGCGCTGCTGCTGCCAGAAGGCCTCAGCCTCGCCGCTGTTGTCCTCCTCACCGGTCTCCTCACACTGCTGGGTATGACCTGAGACAACGTCGCGCCTCTTCAAGTTAAACTCAGTAAAGTCAGAAACAAGAAGTAGAACCTGGTTGGCTTAGAGCTGATCCAGAACCTCTGTCCATGAGGTAGAATAAAAAAACTAGCTGAAGCTGGAGTAGATCATCAAACTGATGAAACTAGAACCAAATCTGAAGTCACCTGAAAGCAGCGAGCTTTTAGTTTTTCTCCTGTTTTTTATTTTATTGGGTATATTTTATGTTTGTTTTTTATTATTTAGTTCCAGTGTAGAGCATTTTGTGTCAGCTGTGGAGTGCTCTATAAATGATGATGACTTCATTGGGACACTGACGGGCTCAGCTTTCACGTGTCTGCCAGGAACATTACCCCGACCAGCTGTTCTCAGCGTCACCTGTACCATCTTGTCAGGGTTTGGTGGGGTCTGTGAAAACGATCGAATCAGCTGCCAGTCAGACGCTGCATAAGAAAACCTGTAGTGGTCTTTGGAGAATTTCTGACATAGAAAGGGTTACAACAGACGACCTTTTAATGCTCGTCTCTATGGAGATGGGTTTGGGGGGTAGCAGGAGGAGAGAAGCTGCAGAGAGGCGTGTAAGACTGCAACTCTGCTTCCTGGTCCCAACTCTGGATAGTCATATTTTGGGGGGTTTAATAAATTTGTCCATATTTCTAGAAATAAGAGCTGCTCCATCCAAAGTGGGATGGATGCAAGACCAGGTTTCCTCCAGAAGGCTTGCCAATTATCTATGAAGATAGCTGGAAGCTGTTCGTTGGTCTGTAGCAGGGAAGCAAACAACTCTACCAGTGCAGAGAACAACAACAAATATCACACAAGGAGTAAAGTAGGATTCTGATATTGTGTGTGTGGAATTCTGAACCCATGTCACTTTCAGGAAGATGAAAACTTCCACATCCAGGGTCGTGCTGCAGAACTTCATTTAAAATTACTTGACTTTGCCGCCATCACCTCTGCCTTGTAAACTTTTTAAGATGACTCCACCCCTTCGTCTGCCCTTAGGTGTCGCTATGGTAACAGGGGCCATCAGACGCAGAAGGAAGGAGCCTCTGATTATTGATGATGAGCGAGATGTTCGTGAGAATATTGTTTGTTATGACGATGAGGGCGGTGGCGAGGAGGACACCGAGGCCTTCGACATGTTCACGCTGAGACACCTGAACGAGACCAAACGGAGCTACCATGTCACCGCCCCTGAGCCCCCGCCATCCAGGGAAGATAAACACCAACTGTTCCAGGAGTTCATCGAGGACCGGCTCCGGGAGGCCAACCTGGACATGACGGCACCACCCTTTGACTCTGTGCAGACGTACGCTTTGGAGGGCAGCGGGTCAGCTGCTGTGTCGCTGAGCTCGTTTAGCTCGTTAACCTCGCTGGAGTCAGAGCAGAGCTACCACTTCCTGAGTGAGTGGGGGCCAAAGTTTCGGAAGCTTGCAGAACTCTACAAAGACCGCGAGGGAGGTGGTGCCTCATAGAGTGCACGCCTTGCGGCAACAGGTGTGTGGTCTGTTTAGCCCATATGAACTGGATTAGTCCTCACACCAGGAGCTCTGAGCACCCTGAACCAGAGCAGAACCTGTAGAAGTACCGGCAGCTGGACCTGGAACCAGCCAGCTCGAGCTTGAGCTGCCTGACTGGACCTTTACGTAGTTACTGTGAAATATTTCCTGCTGTTGCTATTTCACAATAAAAGCTTGCCAGTGGTGCTGCTTTTATTTTGTAAGCCTGAATGTGTAACAACAGAAATAAAACTGAATTTATGAAAACTGCAGCTGCTGTTTTTACTGCTGTAACACGTCCCAAACGCTCAGCCTCTCCATGCTGACGTCGTCCTGTGACGTATGCACAACTCTGAATTTGGAGGAAAAACTTTTCAGCAAAAATGTTTTTAGTTTGTGACTCACTTTGATTTATTTTTTTTTAAGATTCTGATGAGTCCAGACTGAACCACTGATGGTTCTTCACGTGTGCTCACGTGTGACAAGCTTAGTGGGCGGGGCACAGAGATGCTTTCCACCATACAAAAAACATCTGGTATGTTAAATGGAAAGAGTGTTTGCTGTCCACTGAAACTGAAATGAGTGACTGTGAGTCGCTGCTGGAACAAACCAAGTATTACAGATATAATGCATCTTTTTTTTACCTCCAACTTTATTTCAACAGAAACTTTTAACGACCACCAGCATCATACAACTGTAGTGTAAAATTATCATACAGACAAAGATGGGTGTGTATAATTAAACACATAGGAAGAAATACCGATTAAAGGGGAAAAACAGTGAGAGATACAGTGACGCCAAATAATTAAATAAAGACATTAAAAATATTACAAATATGAATGGTTTTCAAAGTTTTCTTGTTGTGAGGAACAAATTGTAGATTTCTGTTTCTGTGCTGAAAGTCTGAGAACTTCAGATGAGCGAGTCTCTCAGTCAGTCGTTTTGATCAGACGCCGTCAGAAACGAGCGACTTGTTTCCACGAGACCGGAGTAAAGCTAAATGTTTCTATATCGCTCTCATGGGTTTAGAGGTGTTGGATTGTGTGTCCACAGGTGTTTGTACTTTGCGTCGTAATAAAATGACGGTAAAAGGCTCCGCCCACTCTCTATCCATGTCTTACCATGCAACGACTCTGTGAATGGACTGGAGAAGTGTAGTGGTAGAGTCCTCCGTCAGGAATGAGATATGTGTGTCGACTTTTTATTCTCCCTTAAAATTATTATGCCATAACGCTGCCCAGAGCAGCTCTGCTAACAGGTTATGGGCCCAGAGCAGCAGTAAAGAGATCCTAGAGATCCTGTAACTGCCAAAGGAAGGGCAGCGTTTCCTGGAAAGCCGCAGGTTACCGGCAGGTGTTAAAAGTTTGGCACGATTGAGTGAGTAAGCGTTTTTGTGCATCATGAGCAGACGCACGGCAGAGTCGGGCAGTCGATATTCCCGTTTGCAGTTTGATGGAGATGAAAGGAAATATGAGATATGGGAAACGAAGTTCCTTGGTCATCTCAGACTACAAGGTTTGAAAGATGTCATCTTAAAGGCTGAGGGTGATGAAGAAGCCGATGGTGAAGATGATGACAAAAATGCAGAAGCATATGCAGAGTTGATACAATTTCTGGATGACAAAAGTTTATCGTTAGTTATGAGAGATGCAGTTGATGACGGACGGAAAGCCCTAAAAATTTTGAGAGGTCATTATGCAGGAGTGGGCAAGCCAAGGATCATAAGTCTGTACACCGAACTTACTTCTCTCACAAATGAAAAGAATGAAAGTGTGACGGACTATATTATCCGAGCAGAAGCAATTATCACAGCGTTAAAAAATGCGGGTGAGTCATTAACTGATGGACTTCTGATCGCAATGATAATGAGAGGTCTACCAGAGATGTTTAAACCCCTGATTGTGCACGTTACACAGAGTGAAGCAAAAATCACATTCTCAGAGTTTAAAGTAAAACTCAGAAGTTATGAAGAAACCGAGAGAATGCGTGCGGCTGTAACTGATGACAACGCAATGAGGACAAAAGTGCAATTAGACCAGGATTCTACTTCATGGCGAGCAGATGACCGAAGATCAAAGAATAATGAGATTGTGTGTTTTAAATGTGGACTAAAGGGACACACTGCAAGAACGTGCCGATCCAGAGTATGGTGCAGTTTTTGCCGGAGTAGTACACACAAAGATGCGACCTGTAGAAGGAAGCTAAGACGGGATGAAGCGAGAGGGGTTGTGGAGAAGGACTACGCGTTCAGGACGGGCTCCGAACCCCAGAGGGTCCCGGACGGCGGCCAAGAGATGCTGAATAACCAGCTACTGGTGGATACGGGAGCGACGTCACATATCTTTACGAAGATCGAGAGTTTTAAGACTTTTGATGACACATTTCGACCCGAGGCTCATTGTGTAGAGTTGGCTGACGGAAGGCGGAGCAGAGGAGCTGCAAAGCGGCGAGGAGATGCTGAGATAAGTATGATTGACAGTAAAGGACGCAGTCACAAGGTAACATTGAAACAAGCACTCTACATTCCATCGTTTCCACAGGACATTTTGTCAGTAAAAGCAGCTACTAGTAACGGAGCCACTGTGGTTTTCAAACACGGGGACAGTTTTCTTAAACATGTTGATGGAACAAAATTCCCTATATATGAACACGAGAGACTGTTCTTTATAAACACTGTGCAAGAGTTTGAAGAGAAATGTAATGGATGTTTTGATATGCAAACGTGGCATGAAATTCTAGGACACTGTAATTATGAGGATGTTCAAAATCTGCAAAATGTCGTTGATGGAATGGAAATTAAGGGTAAAATCAACAAAAACATGCAATGTGAAGCCTGTATACAAGGGAAGTTTACTCAAACTAGGAACCGAGAACCAGATGAAAAGGCCAGGGCAGCATTAGAGTTGGTACATACGGATTTAGCTGGTCCGATTACGCCAAACTCTAAAGAAGGGTTTAAGTATGTTCTGTCGTTTGTTGATGATTATTCAGGTGCAACATTTGTATATAATCTGAAACACAAAAGTGATACAACTCAAGCAACTGAAAGATTTATTGCAGAGGTGGCGTCATATGGGAAAATCAAGTGCATTCGTTCTGATAATGGAACTGAATTTACAAGCAGACAGTTCAGAGATTTATTAAGTAGACACGGCATTAGGCAGGAAACTTCGGCGCCATATTCGCCTCATCAAAACGGAACAGCAGAGAGGAACTGGCGTACACTTTTTGACATGGCGAGATGCATGTTAGTTGAGAGCGAATTGCCAAAGTCTTTATGGCCATATGCAGTACAAACCGCGGGAGTGATTCGGAACCGATGTTTTAACAAACGCACAGGTCAGACAGCGTATAAGATGTTAACTGGAAAAAGACCTGATCTTTCTAGAATGAAAAAATTCGGATCATTGTGCTATGCTTATAAACAAAATAGGGGAAAGCTGGATCCAAGATGCGACAAAGGTGTTTTCTTGGGATATGACAAAAATAGTCCAGCATATTTGATCTATTTCCCAAAAACCGGGAAAGTTGAAAAGCACAGATTGATAAAAATACTAAATCCCGCGACAATGGATCAACAAACACAGAGTGATCAGATGTATGAAGATGAGGTTTATGAATCCAGAAAAGATGGTGAACCCAAACAGACGAAGGATGAGGATATTCCAGATGGTAGTGAAAGCAGTCAAACTGAGTCCGAGGTTAAAACTGATGATAAAGTAGATGCTGGAGCTACACGTTATCCATCCAGAATCAGAAAGAGACCTGATTATTTGAGTGATTATATCACGGATGTGAAAGAGTGTGAAAATAAACAGATGCAAACTAGTGTTGATTATTGCTACAGATTGTTGTGTGAAATACCCACATCATTTAGCGAAGCTATTGTGTCAAGTGAGTCAAAAGAATGGGAAAGAGCGATGAATGAAGAAATTCAATCCCTTAAGGAGAATGACACATTTACTTTAACCACTTTACCAGAGGGTAAGAAAGCAGTGGGGGGTAAATGGGTTTATGCCGTTAAAAAGAACTCAGACGGATCAGACAGATATAAAGCTCGATTTGTGGCTAAAGGTTTTAGTCAAACAAAAGGAGTTGATTATGAGGAGACTTTTTCACCGACTGCTAACTTATCGAGTGTGAGAGTTTTGATGCAGAAAGTGGTTCAGGATGATATGTTGGTTCACCAGATGGATGTAAAAACCGCCTATCTACACGCACCAATAAATGAAGAAATATATATACAACAACCAGAAGGTTTTGAGACAGAATCAAGTGAGACTAATAAACTGGTGTACAGATTAAAGAAATCACTTTATGGGCTGAAGCAATCGGATCGTAACTGGAACCAAACCTTACATGACTATTTAAGCAGTTGTGGATTTAGACAAAATACTGCTGATCATTGTGTGTATTCAAAAGAAACTGAAAGTGAAAAAGTAATCATCATAGTGTGGGTGGATGATTTACTCATTGCAGCTAACAATGAAAATGTGCTTTCAGGCGTGAAAGAAATGCTCTCTTCTAAATTCCAAATGAAAGATCTGGGGAAACTTAACCATTTTCTAGGAATAGATTTTATTCAAGAAAAAGAATGTGTCAGAATGTCACAGAAAATATATATTGAGAACATTTTAAAGAGATTTAACATGCAAAACTGTAAGCCAAGGTTAACACCCTGTGAACAGAAATGGACTCATTCTGATAAATCCGAGACATTACCAGATGTGAGGAGATATCGTGAAGCGGTAGGATGTCTTATTTATCTGAGCTATTGTACGCGACCTGATTTAAGCTATGTTGTCAGCAAACTGTCACAACATTTCAATGCGCCAACTGTTGATGATTGGACAGCAGTGAAACATGTTCTGAGGTATCTAAAAGATAGTCGAGGAAAAGAACTGTGTTTTAGGAAACGTTCAAGTGGAAAACTAGGTCTACAAGCATACAGTGATGCAGATTGGGCATCCGATGTTTCTGATAGACGCAGTATGACAGGTTATTGTGTAAGCCTAAATGAAAATGGTCCTTTGATATCATGGAAAACCAAAAAGCAGACAACTACAGCACTATCAACATGTGAAGCCGAATACATGGCATTAGCAGCAACAGTTCAGGAATGTATGTATTTGACTTATTTGATTCAAGATCTTGATGAGTTTGAGTATGAAACACCTATGATATTGGAGGACAATCAGGGAACAATCGCTTTGTCAAAAAATCC